TTTATTTAACGAGGTGTTAGATTTGAGAAAAAGCAATCGTAGTTCTACCTAGGTACACATTTATATGGGCCTTAGCGTTCTAAACTAACAATTCATTGCAATATTGATTTTAAATAGGCCTTCGAAAGCACCCTGAAGTCTTGGGAAGATAAACAGAAGTGCGACTCTGGTAAACCAGTTCTTCGAACCCATTTGTACATCCACCACGCCATCGACTTGGCCACGGAAGAGGTGTCGCAGATGCAGCTGTGCTCCCAGGCTGCAGAGGAGCTCATCACTAGGTGTGGTAGCTCTCCGGCTTTTTAGACTATGAGAACTCTGGTCTCAGCCAGTTTTGTTTTTTTAATGGTAACACATTGTTTCAGTAGTTTGTGGAATCAAGAGATACAATTACTCTTCTTCACTGGCTGCCCCATTTCACAGTTGCTGCCCTCCTTTATCAGGTCCTCTCCAACACACACACACACACACACACACACACACACACACACACACACACATCCTCTGCAGTCCAGACCTCAGATGTCCTGAAACACAGTGCCTAACTTACACTGCCACATCATACCCCTTGCTTATTGTTTATCTCCCCACTTTATACGTCAATCATTATGCTATACTGCCCACTTACATGTTTCCTTATCATTATTAATCAGAAGTTTACGGAATGGAGAAGGATGTCTAAACATTAACCCTGTTCCCAAGGAGAGTAAGGGGCAAAAAAAAAAACAAAAACAGATCTATAACAGATTTTGAGACCATGCATAAATTCATTTTGGCAGACAGAAAGGGAGAAGATTAAAAAACAAAACAAGTCCTAGGAGCGTTAAAAGCAAAATCATTATAACCAGGAGCAAACTTCAGAGGGGAGGAGGGACTGGTCACTGATAAAAATGTTGAAAAAGAGAAGAAGGAAAGTAGAGTTCAGTGGTTGTGGGGCTAACTTGCTTCCTCTCCCTCCCTCCTATTGCCATTTGTCCTCCCTCTCTCCTTCCTTACTCTCCTCTTTAAATATTTATTAGATACCTAGAATAGGGGTGTATGAGATATTAGAGATATAAAAGAAAAGATATATACTCCCAACTGCTGGACCAATATTCAGAATTAGAATAAAATATTACAACTATAAGATACTGGATAGCTCAGAAGAAAGGGAAGAAAAACTGAATATTTACTCAGCTGAATCCACATCACTACATTCTGTACATCTCAGCTTCTTATCCACAGGGATATTAGTTTTAGGACAAATACATTCTTTGAGATACCACAGACAACTTCCGTGGCCTCCGAGACACAGTGTTTTCTTGAAGCCAAAATATATTTCCCACTTTATCATCCTGTGAACCAATCAAATAACCTTACCGCAAAAAGGAAGTGAAAGTTGGCCAGACTTGCTTTTGGTCAATCTAAGTCTGGTTACTCATCTGTTTTTAAATTTTGCAAAAAGTTCACTTGTCTATTTTCAGAATTTATTCATCCAATATTCAATAAATATTTCTGAGCCCCTTGTATGGGCCAAGCACCAAATTAGGCACAGGAGATACCAAGATGACTACGTTATGGCCCTCCTTCATTTGTTCACAGATGAGTGGGACAGAGAAGTGTGGCCAAAGTGCTGTCACGAGGCACGCAGTGGGCTCTGCAAACACACAGAGGAGGCCAGAGGCAGTGAAGGAGGGCTGCCTGGAAAAAGTCACCTTTTAGCAGAGGCCCAGAGGGGTGTAAGTTCTTGCTACTTTCAGGAAATCTCAGAGACTTCGGGATGACTAAGAAGTTGACATAATATATTCATGAATGTGGGAAATGTGGATGGAGAGGAGGGGCCAGATATTTATGGGATGGTTCTGGAAGTAGTATGGAGGATTATTTTAGAAGACAGCAAAGCTGGGGTGGGGTGAACACTTAGGGTGCTGCAGGAATAGTCCTGAGAAGAAATGATGCATTACAGCAGTAGAGATGGAAAGGAGAAAAGAGATTTTAAGACAGTTCAGAATCCAAAATTGGTATATGGGCATGAATTAGGAGACAGGATGACCTTAAGGTTTCTAGTGAATGGCTGGATGGATTGTGGTGCCTTTAAAGGAACAATAGTATTCAGGAAGAGGAACAAGTTTGAGAGGGAAAATGATGTGTTCCACTTGGACTTCAGAATTTAAATTACATTAGAAATACCTGGGAGGAGATTAAACATGCAACTGGAAATGTTGAACTGAAGTTGACTAACCTCTTTCCCTTTCTTTGAAAATTAGAATAACATTTATCCATCTCCGTTCCTCTGATAAATAGCCCATCCTTCATGATTTTTCAAAGTTATTGACAATAATGCTGAGGTGACATTAGCAAGGTTTCTTTGTGCCTTGGATTATCAATTGTGTATGATCCTTAAGAATCAAACTCTTTTCCTTTACTCTTGACCTGACGACATAGGGCTTCTGTCTCTTTTTTTGTTCTGTCCTTCCCAGATTGAAGGTCCTTCTCTGTGAAGATGTGAGAAGCAAAAAGCGTTTGAATAGTCTTGCCTTCTTGATCATCTGCAAGCCTTACATCATTTTCTAGCAATCAGAGGAACTTTTCCTCCTTTCTCTTCTTTGGCCTTAGTGCATTCCAGGATTTTGTCTTTCCAGGACTTAGAGGTTTGGGTATAAGAGGACTATGGCACGACAGGCTTTGGAGTTGGACAGACAGAGATGCAAAGCCTGGCTCTACCACTTGTTAGCTCTGTATACATGCTAAATCTCTCTGAGCCTCGATGTCTTCATCTATGAAGTGGAGAAAATGAATTATAGCTACCTTTTAAGGCTGTGAATATTAAATTAGCTGATACTTATAAATCACTTCACTTGTAAGTGGTAATGCTCTTCCTCTAATCTGCTGTATTTGAAGTTTCAGTGAATGAAAGACAAGTTTCTACTCTTAGTACTTGTGATCTCTCTCACTTTCCAATGATTCTGCAAAATGAAATATTACTGTATTTTGTTCTCTCAAATAGCACTTTTTGATATGTTTATCTCTGATGCTAAGCCTAACTTTTTATATAAAGATTTTCAATTTAAAACTCTTTGTTGCCATGGGGTTTTGAACTTGTAAATCTACTCCTTGCCATTGCTAATTGAGCAACCATGTAAAAAAAAATTTTTTTTATTTATCTTCATTTTTTTTTTTTACTTGTTTTATCCTTCCACTTCCACATTTCAAAAAAAAATCAGCAATGCTCCAAAAAGCTTTTTGTTCATTTGTTTCCTTTTTGCTTTTAGGATTTGTGATGCAGCCACAATTCACTGTCTTTTGGAGCAAGAACTGGCCCATGCTGTGAATGCCTGCTCCCATGCCCTGAATAAAGCCAACCCACGGTGCCCGGAGGTGAGGATCTAATGGTAAATTCTCATTCCACAGATTCTTTTGGTGTTACACTTATATTTTAATGCTGTAAAATATGCCACACCCTGTGAATGAAATTTGTGTAGACTGTATGAGTCTCTGCCAGAAGTTTACAGTCAATTTGTTGTCAAATTTTTCTTTATTTTCCTTTTCCTGCCATTTTTTCAT